TCCTGGGTCTGGGACTCCGGGTGAGGCTTGGGCGCGGCTGTGCCAGCCGAAGACCGTTCATCCCGCCTGGGTGCGTGCGAATAGACCGGCCAGAACGCATCTGTTTTCGGGGGGAATTGCCGGCCCAAGTGACGCCGGGGTGAAAATCCCCACCCACTTGGGTCTGAAATCCGCTCCTCAAAACCGTGTGCCCCGAAAGCGCGGTTCGTTGAGCGAATGGAGCCACGTGGTCAGTTAGGTGACCAGGCATTTGTGGATGGTGTGCCCTGAAGTTGTACATCTCCCTGGGCTCTGGATTGTTAATTGGATGATTAACATTTCAGATGCTCGAGAGTTCTGATTTGAGTGAACTTCATTTCACGGAATTTATAGATCAAGAAAAGATTTTCTCATGCTTTTTGTTTTGTAGCTCGAAGAGGAATATCTCTCTTTGACATAGCAAGGCCTAATCAAGTTCAATTAAAAGAGAATGTAAATTGTATTAGTACTTAGGAAACAATTCGGCAAAATGTGTAAGACGTGAAATACCACACAACTCAGAAAGCACGGAACCTGAAGAAACACACACACATGTTAAAAAGAGCTACAAGAATTAACCATCGACATAATCATATGGTTTGTAACAAGTCTAAAATAGAGGCCCCTGAAAACTCTGTCATTAGGTGACTAGACAGATAACTTTGTATAATGGAATAGTACACAACTCATAAAAGTGAATGAACTAGAGCTAATGTCTAAGCATGAATGACGTTCCCGAACATCTATGTGTGTGTGTGGTGTCAGCCTTCAAAATAATCGATTTAATATGATAACCTCTTAAATGATGAAAAAGCCAAAAAACATTATACAGGCACACACGCGTGTGTGAATATGGAGGTTATGAAGAAATGGGGCAGGTTCTCCACTTTAAGCAAGCCTTGTACTGTCAATAGTGGTACCAGCCGAAAGTATGTATCTCGATGTGACACAAGTAGAAATTCCCATCGTCAACCAATGTAATATTCTTGACTACAATTTAGCCATGTAGACTAGTCATGGCAGTGGGTTTGGTTTGGTTTTGGAGTCTTATAGAAACAATAAAATCTAGACACAGTCTGTCATACAAACACCTCTTCAAAAAAGTTATTCTAAAAATGCAAAGATGGTAATGGGACTAAGTAACAGACGAATGAATAGATAAGTGAAACCTGATCAGGTCTTAGAAGGCTTTCTGAAGGACAGTTAATACATATGATCAGGAACTATTGAGTTATTCTAGTTTGGGGAGGTATCATAAAAGTATTATGTAAGAGATGGTCTTTATTCTTAAGCAGGCACTTTTCTAAAGTATTGAGGGATGCCTACACTGCTGTTTGATATTTCCAAATGGCTCAGGGAAAAAAGAGTCGCATGTATAAATAAAGCCAGTGAGGATGGGAACGATGGTCACTGGGTGGTAGGTACCAACAGTGAAGTGCTCCCCTACTTGACGGAAGGTTGGCCTGCCGATGATCACTGGGTGGTAGGTACCAACAGTGAAGTGCTCCCCTACTTGACGGAAGGTTGGCCTGCCAATGATCACTGGGTGGTAGGTACCAACAGTGAAGTGCTCCCCTACTTGACAGAAGGTTGGCGTGCCCAGCCATCTGCGTCTGAAAGGTCACAGCCGTGAAAACCCTTCGGAGCAGTTTTTCTCGGAGCATGATGTCCCCCAGAGTTGGAATCGGCTCATTGGCAGCTTACAACAGAGTTGGTTGGTAATTTGGAAAGGCAGGGTGTAATGGGTGACTTACCTATTTTGATCTTTTCTACTATAGTTTATTGCAACATGTACAAATCAATGTGAGGGCTGTTCTTGCAGTCACAGGCTATGGAGTCAGAGAGAGATGCATTCATTTCCACCCTGACTTGGCAAGTGTATAGATAATGCATAGTGATAGCTCAGTTATTTATGTCTCCAAATCTAATTTTCCTTATCTGAAAAACGATAATGCCAAACCTACCTGATTGTTGTAAGGGTTTATTTATATGCACCAGAGCAGTGGTTCTCAACCTTCCTAATACCGCAACCTTTTCATACAGTTCCTCATGTTGTGGTGACCCCCCCAACGATAACATTATTTTCGTTGGTACTTCATAACTGTAATTTGGCTACTGTTCTGAATCAGGTTCAGGCGACCCCTATGAAAGAGTCATTCGACCCCTAAAGGAGTTGTGCCCCAGAGGTTGAGAACCGCTGTTCTAGAGGTTTCTCACAGCTTTTATCACACTGCCTGGTGGGTACTCAAAATTGTTAGCTACTTTCATGAGCTTTGACGAGAACTTCTGGGGGAAAAAAGTCTTGTTTAGGGTTCTAAGAATAGATGATTATCTTCTTTAATTTTTTTTGTAAAGAAACAGTATTCCTACTTATGGTTTCTTAATTTTGGTTTTAATATTTGTCATAGGTTCTTGAGTCCTGAATTCATCCCGCCCAGAGGAAGAACAGACCCTCTCAAGTTTCAAGTAGAAAGAAAAGACATGTTAGAAAGGAGAAAAGTTCTGCATATCCCAGAGTTCTATGTTGGTGAGAGCCCCGGGCACTTTCGTTATTGGTGGTTGGGGGGCTGTATCATAGCTTCTTAGTGCGTCTGTAACAAGTTGCAAGGGATCTAAGGAACCCTTGAGAAGACTGGATGTCTTGAGTTCAGAACCCTGGCTCGAGGGGAAGTCCCTTTGAGAAAATCATTGTCCCAGCTTTTGTAACCAACCATCCTTAGAGTTCCTGGGCTTCTGGACTGAGCTTCCTCTTGTGTCTGGATAGTTTTGGTCTTCCCATGTGTCTGCCTTATCTACACTGTCTGTTCTTTTAAAAAACATCTCACTGGTTTAAAATATACCCAACAGTGATAAGACCTCATTAACTTAACAAACTGCTACTAAATGGGATTGCATCCAAAGGTATAAGGGTAAGGAGTGCAACTTGTATTTTGTGTATGTGTATGTGGTGGGGGACGGGAGGTTGAGGGTGGAAGGAGATAAGATTCAGTCCATAAACAACCCCACACATGCCTTTTTGGGGGGGCATAGAGAAGATGGTTTTTTCACATGCCTGGGGTTTGCACGTAGAAGCACTAATTCCTAATATGATATTGGACTATTTAGAAAGTTAGGAAGAAGTAACTTAGAAATGCTTTATTTGATTTTTGCATCTTAGGTAAACATTTCCTTCTCTTTTGAATTTGTAGGAAGCATACTTCGTGTTACCACAGCAGACCCATATGCCAGTGGGAAATTCAGCCAGTTCCTGGGGATTTGCATCCAGAGATCAGGAAAAGGACTAGGAGCTACATTTATCCTTAGAAATACAATTGAGGGGCAAGGTAGGTTTCCGATCATTGTTTTGTACTTTTAGAAAATGCTGCCGGGATTCTCTTTTGCTTTACTTATTGTAGGACAAGACATGGCGTGCTCTTCCTGAGTCTGTGGTCTGCGAATGGCAAGAGAGTCGGTTAACTGATGAGGTGCAGTTGGCCTCCTTTCTCTTGAAGGCCTTCTTTCCTGCAGGGATAACAGCTGCTAGAATACAAGCGAGGGACTGCAAGCTTCATTCCTAAGTGTGTCTGTAAGTTCAGTGTGTAGATAAATCAGACCAGGTGTGTGTGGTTCTTAATTAGCTCAGTGCAAGAGAATGGGCCCTGGTGATGCACTGGGTTAAGAACTGAGTTGCTGACCATAAGATCAGCAGTTGAAACCTCTGCACTGTCCCATGAGAGAAAGATGAGGCTGTCTGCTCCCAGGAAAATTTAGTCTCAGAAAGAAAGGACAGCGCTACTATGCCCTATTGGGTCATGAGTTGGAATCAATTCCATGGCAGTGGGCTTGGTTTGAGTTTGTTTAGTACAAAAAAAGGCTTGAAGCCTTTCTAATGATTTGAAAGGGACACATGCAGTGAGTGAAGGCGATTGTGATGAAGAATTTTTTGAAAGTAGAGGCTGGTTCAAGGAGCCCTGGTTGCACTGTTGGCCAAGCCAGAGGTCAGCTGTTCAGATCACCAGTCACTGCAGGGAAAAGAGAAGGCTGTCTCCTCCGCTAGAGATTTACAGCCTCCAAAACCGTACGGCGTGACTGAGTTGGAATGGACTCTGGCAGTGGCCTGGTGATGGGCTCAGTCTCTGAATCAAAATGAGGGCAAATCTAACATTAAAGGCACATCCAGACAACTCGGGGCTGCCTGCCCGTAGGCTTCTCAAACCCTGGTAACACAGAGAGGGAGAAAGGCAGGAGCAAGCAGTGGGGGCTTTCATTAGGACAGAACTCATGAGGATATTACGATAAACATCACCATGTCCTTATGGGTTACTTTGAAAAGTTTTGTATTACAAACACGAAAAGTCACCCCCCACTGTATGAGACACAGAGGCATTTATAATAAAAGGTAAATTATGGTTGCAAACTATTCCTAATAAGGCAGAGAAATGAATGGTAAATTCTGAAAGATTGTGGAAAAAGATGGCAGGAGCTAGTTTTCCTCTTAACATTGATTGCCACATGTACCTAACAAGAATGTAGACAGTTACACTCAGAAAGATTGAAGATTGGAGAGCAGTTTCTGTCTTGTCGGGTGATGACGTGGTGCTGTGTTGTAGTAGAAGCTCAGCAGCACTGGATTGATTATAGAAATGGGTGCTTTCATGAGGTCGTGGACTCTGAAGAGCCTTCCAATAGAAAGAACTGAGGTCTGAGTCAGACCTGGGTTTGAGTTTCCATCTTTCAGTGGGAGATAGGAATAGTTTCTACATCATGGGGTATGGCTAATCGTCAGCCGACTGTGATACTGTATGTAAAATACAGGACACATAATAGTCACTCCGCACGCAGCTTCCTCTTTCCTGCCCCACTTGATGGTAATTTCAGTTATTATAACCTGCCTACTCCTTCCCTGCCCACATGCCCCTTTTGGTGGTTCTTTTATGTCCTATGACTTTAAATAGCATTCGTACCATAATTCCCAAATGTAGATCTCAAGACTACCTTTCCCAAATTCCAGATTTCCACATCTAACTACCGAAACTACCTGTCTGACATCTCCACTTAGATTTAAGCTTGCTGGTAGCATCTTGGTGTACACCTAAAGCTGTTTTTAGCTTGACTCTTAGGGAGGTCAAAAATAAAATCTAGGGTATCCTTAGAGGCTTCTAGTCCAAAGTTAAGCATTTACTGTATATACTCATGTATAAGCCGAGTTTTTCAGCACATTTTTAATGCAGCTTTTGTGGTAAAATTAGGTGCCTCGGCTGATATTCGGGTTGGCTTATACTCGAGTATATACGGTACTTTTTTTTCCTTTGGTATTTGTAGTCCTGTTGCTCTTAATATGAAGATTGATTGTAATTCAAGTAAGTGGGAAATAACACCTGGCCGAGTGAGGATTACACAAATTTTATTAAACAAGTGAATGCCATCTGAATTGAATTGTGTAATTCAGCATATTTACTGAAGACAATGCTTTTCAGAGTTTCAGGTCATTTTAACTGTTTTAATTTTTAATAGACATGGACTATAGCTTTATTACTATTTCACAAATTTATGTCGTGTTTCCTATGGGAAACACCCTATGGTAGTTCCCTTATGAAATAATTCTTACCCTTGTGCGAGCCATAGGCAAGAATCTGGATATTAAGAATAAGTGTTCTTCTTTTTCTTAGGTGTTGAGATTTGCTTTCAACTTTATAACCCTCGAATTCAGGAGATCCAGGTGGTGAGATTGGAGAAACGGCTGGATGATAGTTTGTTGTACTTGAGAGATGCCCTTCCTGAGTACAGCACTTTTGATGTGAATATGAAGCCAGTAGTACGAGAAGCCAACGAAGACGTTCCAGTCAATCAGGTGGAGAATGTAGATTTGGATCTGAAAGCTCATGTGTAAAATAAGAGCGAGTACTCTTATTTTGGTAATGAAAACTTTAGAGGTTTTTTTTTTTCCTTTTCCTTGTGTCTTATCCTAATTATTATTTCTTTTATTTCTTCCTTAGTTGAAAGTTAAAATGAAGCCTAAGCCCTGGTCCAAACGCTGGGAACGTCCAAAATTTAACGTTAAAGGAATTAGGTTTGACCTTTGTTTAACTGAAGAACAAATGAAAAACGCTCAGAAGTGGGCTCAGCCGTGGCTTGAGTTTGATATGATGAGAGAATATGACACTTCAAAAATTGAAGCAGCAATATGGAAAGAAATTGAAGCGTCGGAGAAATCCTGATTCTGGGAGTGGAACTGATGATTACTCTGGATACACTGACTCTTTAGAAGATGTATTTTGAGACCAGTTTCCTTCACAAGAACATTGTCATTAAATCATTTAGTGTTTACTATTTTAGAAGTGTTTTTTATTTTTAAAGAGAACCAGCGCAGCAGTGTAGTACTTTAAAACGAGAAGCACGCCTGCCTGCCAAGTGGCTCAGGTGCCCGTTCTCTTCCTGGAGGCAGAGCCACAGAAGTAAAACGTACATAGGAACGAGTGTGACTTAACTACTACTAGTAGAATGACCATTTATGCTCTCCCATCACTAGGAAGTGAGACGTCCAGTGCAGCAGAGACGCTGCCTGAGCGTGCCCAGTGGCAGCTTCCCTCCCGTTCCCAGGTGCAGGCACTCTCCTGATCTGGTGTTAGTCCTACCCTTGCTTTGCCCTCGTCAGTTGCATCTTTGAAAAGCCTGTTCAAGTACAAAACAGCCTTCTCATCGTTGCCTTATGTTTACACAGGTCGCTTCACCTTCTTTCAAAGTTAATAGTGAGCCAGTCAGGGTGTGTGACTGGTGTGGGCAAGATCATTGGCATCTGGCAGAAATAGGGTCAGCGGTGGTAGACGATGTGAGCCATGAGCCGGGGATGGAATCATACATGGTAAGGGCAAGCCTAGCAGGCGTTGGGGCCAGGCTCACCTGAATAGGCTGCTTTTCAGGTTAAAATGATGGCAGACATGGTCAGCTCTTTCCTTCGGTCCTAGCTACGTAGGGATTTCTGTTCATACTTGTGCTGGATTCCGTTTTCAATTTTGTGAGTTACTCGCTCACATTTTTCTGGAGCACTTCCCTCAGTATCTTCTAAAGAAACGATGCACCTAAGTACAGTTTTTAACTTTGTATGTCTACTATACTCGAACGCTCTCTAGAATTGTAGGTTGGAGATCATTTTTGTCGCAATTTTGATTGTATGATTGGGCTTCAAAAATTTCATTCTTTTCATAACATTTTTTCAAAAACTTTTGCAGCCCCTTCCTATGACTCCATTATTGTTTCCAGTGCAATATTAGAAAATCCAAGCCTGTTTTGATTTCTCCTTTTATATGATTTCCCACTCAAGTGTCACAGTGATGGGCCTTGGGGCGGGTGGGGTGGCGACGTTGTTCAACCACTGTGTTGGACACTTGGTGAGCTGTCATGGTGGCAATATTGGTTCCATGCTGGGACATTTATGTTCATTGCTGCTTTCTTCTCGAACTATTATTTGGAGCTTGGATCTCTAGGACTGGGTCTCTAATTTTCTTACCTTTTCGTGTTGAAGCTTCCTTAACTCAATCTTCCAATTCCTTACTATCATATTTCAAAACTTCAAGACCTTAATTTCTGAAAATTATATTTTTACATATGTTCTTGTCTATGGATTCATTCTGTTACTGATGAAGATGGTAGTGTTTTTCATTTTTAAAATTGTTCTGTGGCATCCCCTCCCTCCAAGTTTCTTCAGTTTTCTATTAGGTTTTTTCAGGACACCTGACAATCCTAGCCTCTGACTGGAGAATTGAAAAGCAATGTGAGCTTTGGACTTGTGGAAAGGGTTTTGTTTTCCAAGGTTGTCTGTGTGGGCTAGTCTTGGATGTCCCCTCTATTTCAGTATCTTTGTTTAGTCTGATGATCTAGGGGCCTTTTCCCAGTGGGCAAGTCTGTCTGGTGCCTCATGGGGAAAGAAGGGTGTGTGTTTGGTACTTGGCAGGGACAGCCTATTCTTCCTACCCTTGACCACTGATGATAGTTCTGCTAGGTTTTGTTTTTCCGCTTTTTGAGGGGGGTGTGGGTGTGGTAGTAGAGTTCATGAGGTTTTCTATGTAGCCAATCCTGTCTTTTGTGAATGAGTCTTACTCTTCATTTATGCATTAAAAAAATTGTATGCCAACCACCTCCAGAATAATGCCAAAGTAAAATGGTAAGAGTCGACATACTGGCTTTTTCTAAATAATTAGGGAAATGATTTAATTTTACCATTTAGTTTTCCCATTATGTGTAGCTGTCTTTAACAGATACCCTTTATCAGATGAGGAACTTATATCCCTACCTAGAGTATTTTTTGTGAGGGGATGCTGGATTTTGGCAAATGCTTTCTGTAAATCTACAATGGTAGTAAAAATTGCTACGAAGTCATTTAGAAAACATCAAAAATATCAAACTGAAGTAACTGTTTCCAACATGTCCACCCAGGCCTGTTTACTTATGAAGGTTGTTTCCAGTTCTGTCCTTCCCTGAATTCTGCACTGCTTCATTTGCACCATGTCACAACAGGGCATCTGTGGGAGACTCAAAATGATGCTTTTCTTGAATGTTGAGAGTTTGGAAGCTTAACAGGGCAAGATCATGGCCAATAAGGTAGATGTGGTAGGATTTCCTAAAAATGATCAAGCCCACTGCTATCAAGGAATGAGTAGGTACATTATAATGGGGCTGGGGGTGAATCCCTGGCACCTCCTTAGCCTTTTTCTTACCAGTGCAGTTTTCAATTTTCAGAAAACTTACACCCCTGTGGTGGTCCTGTGCTTTTAAAGAAAATGTATCAAGGACCGTCACCAGAACCCGAGTGGACCTTTCTGCTTTAAGTTTAATTGGTCTACAGGGGTGTCAAACTGGCAGCCTGTGGGCTGCATGCGGCCCCCGAGGTAATTGTTGTGGCCCACGTTCTGAAATAAAATGTAATGAGAGGATTGTGTGTACGGTATTGCCTTGAGCGCCCCCAAGCGCTATTTCCTTCATAACACTTATTTTCATTTTATTTCAGAGCATCGTGGGCCACAAAAAATCGCCTCGGGGGCTGCATGTGGTCTGCAGGCCGCCGGTTTGACACCCCTTAGTAGATCCCCTTGAAGTCAGCTTGATAGGACCTTTATATTTTTTGAAGGCTTGCTCCCTAACAAGTCTTAAGACAAATGGTACTGAGAGAACTTATCTGCAGCCATGCACTGGGTGCAGAGGCATGTTTAAACTTGTTTGGAATGAAGCAGTCCAGTAGCAATCCTTTTTGACATCGTCGTAGGTAAAGATGGTCATTATTTTCATGTGGTGATAATTAAAAAAATTTTTATTGGGGGCTCATACAACTTATCACAATCCATGCATCCATCTATTGTGTCAAGCACATTTGTACATGTTGCCGTCGTTTTAAAAGCATTTTCTACTTGAGCCCTTGGTATGTTCTTCTTTTCCCCTCCCTCTCTCATGAACCCTTGATAATTTATAAATTATTTTTTCATGTCTTGCACTGTCTGATGTCTTTTACCCCTTGTCTGTTCTCCATCCCCCTGGGAGGGGGGTCATAGGTAGGTCATTGTGATCGGTTCCCCCTTTCTCCCCCCACCTTCCCCTTACCTCCTGGTGTGGCTACTCTCAATATTGTTCCCGAGTTGATCTATCCTGTATTTCCTATGTTTCCAGCTCTTATCTGTACCCCTATACATTCTCTGGTCTAACCAGATTTGGAAGGTAGAATTAGGGTCTTGATAGTGGGGGGGAAGCATTAAAGAACCAGAGGAAAGCTGTATGTTTCATTGGTGCTATACTGCACCCTGACTGACCGGTCTTCTCCCCACGACTCTTGTGTAAGGGGATGTCCAATCGCTTACAGATTGGCTCTGGGCCTCCCATGTGGTGATAACTTATTCTCATAGTTTCATAAATGTTAACCCTACCATACTTTCCTGGAATTACTTCCACTTGGTTATTGTAATGATCTCTATTAGGCTAGGTTTGTCTCTAGCTTTAATAGCTGTTGCAATGGCTACACAGAATTCAGATAAAACTAATGATTAAAGGGCTTATTAACAATTAAGTTGTAATGTCAATGAGAAATGCTCAGGGTTGATAGTTGTTTATCAGAACATGTTGTTTCTATTGAGTCTGCCAGCACATGCCTAAAGAGGTTATTTTGGCTTTAAGCCTCAACTTGAAGGCATTCATTCCGCAAACCCAGCTTCCTGAATTATGTGCCCACAGAAGCCCCACTCAAATAACCGAAAATCCAATGGCTCTACTTCCATGGGTTGGCAAGCCCAGCTCCTCAAATTAAGGGCCTAAAGGCACCCCGCTCTACAAGGCAGCCTCTTTCCCCAAAGCGCTCATCTTTCCTTTCTCTGAGGGCTGGGAAGTCCATCGTTCCAGGTTCTGTTGCTGCAGCCCTAATGTTCTAGCCATCTTCTGGACCAGGAGGCCCACAACAGGACCTTGGGTCTTAAGGACATGCTACACCCCTGGATCTTGCTGGTAATGAGATCCTTTCTCTTGCTCCTCAGAGGACTTTTATGTGCAGCAGGATTACATTACAGGGAATAGTCCTTTGGTGGGAGTTAGAGACTTTGTCTAGAAGAACCATGTTAAATAATTCACTGCCCTTGCAGTGGTAATGTATTAACTTTTTAACAGGTTTTTATATTCAATTTGCTGATGTTTTAAGGACTTTTATTTCTGCGTTCACAAGGGATATTGGTCCATCATTTTCTTGTAACACCTTTTTCAAGTTTGGGATGTAGTGTTTCTTAGGGCCTCATCCAGGTAAATATTTTGTTAAGGGGTTAAGAAATGATCCATCAACTCCATTGTGAGGTGCTTTATTCATGGCTGTGTGGAATTTCCTAACATGAAAGAAGAAACAAACCCCAACTAACCAGTCATCTGTTTGAACCTACAGAAACGTCATGCTTTATGTGAGTAACAACAAAATCGGTTTTGGTGGGATGTGAGAGGTTTTGCCAAGCAGAGTTGTGTTCTGGCTTGTGATTTTCCTCCGTTCACTTTCTGGTCACAGCAACCAAAAAAAAGCTTGTGGATTAGACAAGCTTCAAAAATATCCTTAAGCATCATCATGCTAGTATATGACAGATAAAAAGCTTGAAGTCCAAACTCCAAATATAATGAACTTTCACTGAGAACTATTAGTTTAAATCACTCAAGTCTTGAAAATGGTTATATTTCCCAATCTAATAAAAGCAAGAGGAGTCTGTTTTACTTAAAAGTGCAGGGGAATGCATGCAACATAAGCTTTAATAAAAAAAATACAAAAGGGAAATTTCCAGATATGGACTTTAATGATATAAAAATACACATTTCATATGTAATATAATCTGTCAAATGTAAAACCAGCTATATTTACATAAATATACACATTATCTTTGGAAATTATGCAAATATAACACTGCAACTCAACAGAGTGTAACTGGGGACAAGAGCCGTGAGGAATACTGAATACTTCTCAGCAGTGGTTTAAATTTTCTAGGTGAAGTTCTATTCCTGTACAGCTGACATACAGTTTTCAACCGTCCTTCACACTAATGTCTTCTGAATCATTAAACAGAATACACCAAATTGTTGAAGTGACTTCAAAATTAAAGGTGACAAGGTTAGAGACCACATGTTCAAATTCTACAATAATCCATTTCCCCCCTATTTCTTGAGAGAAGGGTAATGGTTTGCAAAATTACCCTGGAATTACTTAACAGAATACACTGAAGAAAAATTCCTAGGTTTGGACAGAGCCCACAGCTTGTCTGGCACCGCCCCAGAGCATCTGGCAATAGTGGAGGGGACAGGGCCGCTAGCAGTGAGAAGGGCTCTGGTCTGCCCATCTTCCTGCCCTGCTGTTACCCGAAAGATGCCCGGTTTGCCCAATATATCCTTCCTGTTTACTGGGGGTGGGGGCCAAACCAAGCCAAACATTATGGGTCTCTGGAAGTATATATAGCCGGATGTTGTCTGGAAACGGAGTAACACCCTGCTTAGAAAACAGTATGTAATGTGTTAAAAATGCAAATATAGAGCATATGAGGGAGCTTAAAAATTATTGGGAAAATTCCTCCATCTTTGAACTTTTCTGGGACCTTTATAACGTCACCCCTTACAAAGAGCAAAAATAATGTCACCCCTTACAAAGAGCAAAACTATGAAAACAGCCCAGTTTATAGCCAAACACCTAGAGGGGCTCTGCTCCAAGTACTTTCTCAAATTCCTAAAACCAGCAAAGAAGTCAGAAAGAACTTGAGAATCAAGGGCAAACATTTCCTGTGCACAATTCTTTCAAACACCTCGGCCCAGGGAAGGCGGCCTTTCATGGTATTAAGCAGGGGGATGGTGCAGGATCGGAACGGAGGATGGAGTACCCCGCAGTCTTCCTCTCCATAATGAGATAGAAAACAGAAACAAGCTGCTTTTCAAGGCAGAAACTGAGTGTGACCACATTAAACGTCCATTTTTAGTATTTCCCTACATTAATTTACTCAATTGCCTTTAATTAGTGATCTAAGGTGGTCTAGTTGGTATTCTTCTGTGAAGGATTCTGCTTGAGTCAAAGCTTTTATTTTCACCAGAATAAGAATTATTTCTTTCACTTCATCCCTAAAAAAAAAAAAAAAAAGCCAAATCGTGAAGGAACACTGGTCAAGTCAATTCAGGACTCAATTGATAGCTAATCTAACACAAAAGCTTTACCATACACAAACAGCTAAAAGTAGCATAAAACAAAGAGATGCTGTCTTCTCTACATAACTATCCAGGTTACAAACTAGTAGTAGATGTATCCAGTGGCTAATGTCAATGTCGTGACTGTAAAAGAAATATGAAAGCACAAGCATTTCAGCAGCGGTTAGTTGTGACAAACTTGCACCGACCATCACAGTAGGAACTGAAAATGCTGCCTGCCCCCTGCACCCCCACTTCTTACAGAGCAAAACGACGGTATTTTAAGCCCTTAAACACCTAGCATTTAAAGTAATGTGTTATTCAGTTTGCATGTTAAACACCCCCCCCATTCTTTCTGTTATTGACAACAGCATTATGATTACATAAAACAGCTTGTATCATTTTGATGTTTTTGTACTTATTGAGGTTTGCTTTGTGAAATAAACTTGGTTCATTCTGGAGAAGGTCCCTGTGGGTTCGGGAAGAGTGCACTGTGAACTTCTCAGCTGGTGTGTTCTGTGGGAGGCAGGTGCTGGCTATTACTTAGCTCCTTGGAATCTGTTAAGGTCTTTCGAGCGGTTCTGTTCATGATGAAAACCAACGTGCAAACTAAACCCACGGCCACCAATTCCATTTCACCTCAAAGTCACCCCACAGCACCGAGAAACAGTTGCTCCCTCTGCTCTCCAAGGTTGTAAATCTTGATGAAAATAGATTGCCTCATTTTTCTTCCTCAGAGCACATGGGTTTGAACAGGTGCTTTAAAATCTTCTAGGACAGTACACCTGTCCATGTTCGAATGCGTTTAGAGTTCATGCCTTTGCAGCTCTGTCACTGGAAGCAGACATACATGCGATGGCTATGTCCTCTGGGTGGACTGATTCTTTACTCAGGATGTGGCCTTGCTTTTGTCTCTTATAATGGATCTTAACTTAGTCTATTTTATCACAGAGCATGACTGCCATTCCTGCTCTTTGGATTACTGTTGCTTGATTTATTTTTTCCATCCTTGATTGTAAGGAACAGGCTTTTGCATCTAAGGTGTGTTTTATCAGCAGCATATTGACAGGGTTCTTTTCAGTCCATTCTGACTTCTCTCTTCACACGCATGTAAACCATTTACACTGAGTGTGATTATCAATGAATTTGCTACTGCCATTGTTTTCAGTTCATTTGTGGGTTGTTTATTTGGTTTGTTTTTTCAGTTTATTTGTTTTTAATGGTGCTAGCAGATTTTTTTCCGCTTAATTTTCTATACTGAGTTATTTTTGGTTATGGATATTATTTCCATATCCACTGCTATTAATTTTATGTTTACTGCATCTTTTAAATTTTATTCTTTATTTTGGTGAGTAGATTAACTTACCTTTCAACTTCTTTGATCTCTAACTTTTTCTTCAAATAAAAATTCCACACCTACGCCATTTATTTTCCCTTTTGAGCTGGAAGTTGTCAGTTACAAAGTGGCTTTTCTGGTTTCCCACTTTAAATTACGAAGCTTTCTCTCACTTTTGACAGTTCTTTATTTGGGCTGGTTTTGGGGAACGTTGACTGATGACATGTTTGTTTTTACCAATCCCCTTTAGTTTTTTTGTGGGAATGTCCTAGTTTCCCCGTTGTACTTAAAAACAATTTTGTTGGATTCCATTGTCTCCTTGACTAAATGGTTTGTGCTGAGAAATCATCACGAGCCTAATTGTACCCATTTGTAAGTAATATTTAGTTTTTCACAAACTGTTCTCACAACTTACCGTCTTTGGTTTGGAAAGTTTGATTATGTGCCTTAGTGACTATCTTTAGGGTCTACCTTATATGGGATTCTTTGAGTTCTCAGCAATAACTTTTCATCTTTCTCTGTTCATTACTCTTAATTAATGTCCCACTAACTCTTAGGCTTTCTTCGTTTTTCATTCTTTTTTTCTGATTGTTTCTCAAACCAATTAGTAGTATGGGAGTGTCCCTTTATTTTGATCCTTCTTTCTACTGATTGAATTCTATTCCTATATCCTTCGATTGAGTTATCTATTTCTGATGTATTATTGCTAATTGTACAGATACTTAGCTGTCTCTGTAATTACCTACTTATTTTGTCCTTATATTGTTTTTAACCTACTTCTAATTACCTACTTATTTTGTTCTTATATTGTTTATCTGAATTCTAAGAAGTGTCTGTTTTCCTTGATTTATTTGTGGATTCTATATACAAGTCTTCTGAATTGCTTACCAAGTAGTTCTATTACCATTTCTCCTACAGGAGGGTTTTCTGCCCCTTTATTTTGCTCACTTGTTGAATCATTGTAGGCTGTTTCTTAAGGGCAAGCGCAGACAGCCTGCAGGAACTGTGCGATGTGTGACCCAGCAGCCCAGTGCACCTGTCAGGAAGTGACTAGCATTGCTGATGAGGTTGTGTGTTCATGTAGCCAGTCATTGGGTATGCGTACAGGGAGCATTCTTGCTGGTCGCTGGTTCAGAGGGGTTGAGATAAGGGTCACTTGTCATTGGGCAGGTGGCAACTCTGTACAACTTGTCACCTGGTGTGTGGGGCAAAAAAGTAGTGAAGGGTGGTTTTGTGCCTCTGGTCCGTGGTCTGGAGAGGCTGATGGCCAGCTGGGCTGAGGAATCGGAGGGTGGTAAGGCAGTGTCTGTCTGCCGTGGTTTCTGGGTGGGTGGGGAGTGTGAACCTCTGGTTGCTGGTCCGATGGCATGGGGGTGGACTCTCTGGATTGCTGGGCAGGAAAGCCACTGTGGGAAGGAAGGGCAGAATAGGCGCTAACCTCCAGAGGCTGGTCTGAGAGCACCGCTGTGTGTTGTGCTGCTGACCGTCAGGTGCGAGGGGCAGGCGAGGGAGACTGCTGACAAGGGTGACTGGGGTGAACTGAGTGGGGAGTCTGATGACTCCCCAGTCTCTGAAGTGGGCACCAGGGCACTCTGACTCAAACTGCAGCAGGTCAGACTAAAGGAGGACTGGGCTGCCCAGAGGCACTGCAAAGATCCTTGGTGCAGCCAGCCCCCCTGCACACGTGATCAGGGACCACTGCTGATGAGAAGCTCTGTTTCCTTGTCTGGATCTCCGGCTCTTGCTGCCTTCATGCACGTCTCCCCTCCTCACATCCTGTTTACTTCCCGTCTAGGTATGTCTACATTGTATCTTTCTCTTCTGTGCCTTCCTTGTTCCTCACCTAGGAAAGCCCTTTGCTCTCTTTGCTTCAAGATGGGCATGCTGTGCTGAGCGGGCTGGTAGAGCTCCCGGTCCAAAGCACATGTCTCCTTGTTCATGGTTTTCATTAAATTTCTTCTTTTTAGTGTTTGATCCAATTCTTCATCCTTCCACTCGCTGATCTGGGCTCCCAGACTGTCAGCTCAGTCAATTTGTTTCCATTTGTAGTTTTTTGCTGTAGGGGAATGTCATCACTTATGTGACCAGGCACTATTTTGGACCATCTCAACATCTTTCATTTTTAATGAGCCATCCAGACCACAAAACATAGGTATTATTATTATGGCTGTAATTCCCAGTACTTAAAAACTGCTGAAACATTAAAGGTAGCCAGGAAAATAAAGTGGATTTTTTTAAAAGCAGATTTTTAACAGTTAAATTTTGAATTCATTTGTGCTATGATTTCCTACAAGTACGTATTTTGGGGAAAATTTACATTTAGCATCTGAGGTCTTACAGGCTGTCTTAAAAGAAGCAGCCAGCCCTCTCAGTGAGGCATCAACTAAATCACATGGGAAGAAGCACACTAGTTTGTATGATCCAAAGTTGGTAAACAAAAATTCCAAATCCAATGGAGGGAATAGTATAAAGAGTTTAAATCTGAACAGCCATTTTGCTGAAGGCTCTGGATGACAGTGGAAGCCCACAATCCATTCGGAGGTTCCTGACATGGATTTAGGGTCATGGCAGGGAAATGGGGAAGTTATAACAATGACTGAGAAAGAAGAAAACATAGAAACTGATTGTGGTGATGACTACACAACTCTTCTTACTAGAAATGAACTACTAAATTGTTACATGTGAATTATATTCCATTAAAACTTGAAAAATAAAAATACAATGAGATGTGAGAAAAGTGAATAATGCAAGGGTCGCACATGAAGATATCTACTAATTCTACAGTAACAGAATCTCAAATGAATCTGTATAAATATGGAAAAAGTACAAATCTTTCTTAAAATGGTTGAGAATTTAATAGTACTCTTAAATTATATGCACGTATAAAGAATAAAACAAAGTATGTATTACCTGAATTCATCTTTGGATAGTTTATGTGCAAGCTGTAATAAAGCTTGGATGAAGTTATCTAGCTGGGGAAGAGATGTCCTCATGGCCGGGTCTTCAAACCACTTATCTGGGAGACATGCTGCTACCTAAACATGAAAATGCAGGAACAGTTGTTGGGCTATGATACTGAGTTATTATCTAAGTACTTTTGGCCAACATAATCTCATTTAATCTTCAAAATTAGCATATGAGCTGAATGTTATTCTCCCTATTTTATAGTTTATAGTTAAACAAATTTTGGGGATTTTCCCTGAGTTTGTCAAGAGTTGGATGCATTCTTAAAAAAACGGAAAAAAAAAATTTTTTTTTTCAGGCTTGAATTTTTTGGGTAGCGGTCTTGGCTCTAAAAAATTTTTTTAAGGTTGAGTTTACAACTTAGTGCCATTTTACAATGCCTTGTGCTCTTGCTTTGTGACACACACACACACACACACACACACAAGAAATCAAATTCACTGCCGTTAAGTTGATGCCTATACATGGTGACCTGAAACCGGCCCTGGGCCTTTCTAAGGCTGTAACTCTATAGGACTGGTAAGCCCTTCCTTGTCTTTCTCCCAAGGAGCTCCTGGTGGCTCTAATTGCTGAGTTAGCAGCCCAACGTGTAAACTGCTGCTAGCTTTTCCATAAATGTCCCCAAGATTTATGGCCACACTGTCTTGTTCTAATAGTCATAGTTTCTGGGGAGTGATGTATTAAAATATTCCCCAACCCTCAAATAGAGGAAAGAGCTGGGAGGCAATGGGTATTTACAGAATCTAGATAAAGACATGCACATATGCAAATATATTTATATATGATGATGGAGAAATAGATCTATGTGCCTATATTTATAGGTTTAGTATTAAGGTAGCAGAAGGACATTGGGCCTCCACTCAAGTATTCCTTCAATGCAAGAATACTTTGTTCTATTAAATTGGCATTCTATGATGCTCACCTTCCTGACACAACCACTGAAGACAAAGCAGGTGAATAAGCAAAAAGTGGTGAAGAAAGCTGATGGTGCCCGGCTATCAAAGGACATAGCGTCTGGGGTCTTAAAAACTTGATGGTAAACAAGCGGCCATCTAGCTCAGAAGCAACAAAGCCCACATGGAAGAACACATCAGCCTGTGTGATCATGAGGTGCCAAAAGGATGTTATCTGGCGTCAAAGAACAAAAAATCATTGTGGGTTCACCTCTATGATATGATCGCTGAAGACAAACGGGTGCATAAGCAAATGTGGCGAAGAAAGCTGATGGTGCTCGGCTATCAAAAGGTACAGGTCTTAAAGGCTTGAAGGTAAACAAGCGGCCATCTAGCTCAGAAGCAACAAAGCCCACATG